GAGTCTCTCATCTATGAATGTAGATGATGACACCTGCCTTCTTACCTCACGTGTTTGATGTAAAGATCAAATGAAATCATGTATATGAAAGCACTTCTGACATCTAAAGTGATTAGATTCATTATTTTTATTACCCTTATTCACATGGTGTCATGTAAGGAGAGTGGCTTTGGAGTTAGACCTGGCTTACAGTCCCAACTCCACCACTCACAAGTTCTTGATTTTGTGCCAGAGAATGCTTACATTTGTTTTATTTTGCTTTTTTTTTTTTTTTAATCACCATGTACTGGAAATTCTAAACAATGCCAGTGATATAACAAATAGTCTCCCTCTGAGGTAGACCAAGCCCACCACACCTCTTCACTTGGTTTGCCACTGTCAGTGTGAGCATTACAGTAAAGGTATATGAAGTCTCCAGCATAGTTCCTGGTACTCTGAAGATACTCCAAAAATGATGGTTCTCATTCATATTACAAAATTATGATAGAAAATGAGAGTACTTCAGATTCTTACTGAATGTTTCCTGTGAAGATCTCATAATACATTCATAAATATTAGGATGCGCTTTTACTGATACTTTCCTAAATGCAAAATAAACTAAAGGAAAGCACAAAGACTGGATAGATCTAGCTATGAATAGCTAAAGAAGGTGCCCAGTCTGGTTCCATACAAAACAATCCTTTTCCTGCAAATTTCCTCACTTGGTAATTTTTTAATCAAAGCACTAAAAAGTCCAGTTAAAATGCACCCATAATACCTGGAGGCAATAGATTTCTCCAGTACAATTATGTAGTCATGGTAATCTCTGCTTAAATAAATGGCTCTAAATAAACTATCAGTGTAAGGATGAGCTTTGGAAATGCCAGCGACCACGTCCCCCTGCATCGGTGTTGTGTTGGTTTGTTAGTTAGCTGCAGACACCAAGGTGGAGGCACAGGTGAGTTCAAGGGGATAAAACAGTTAGAGTGCCAGTGCGAACCTAGTTGGAGAGGTAGTTGTGGGGAAGCAGAAGGTGGGAACATTAGCTGGTCAGTAGGGCATGGGGCAAGCTTGAGAGCTGGCGGCTGCTTCTGAGAAGAATTTCTCCATGAATAGAAAAAGAGCCCATCATAGGAAATAAAATTAATAGTCTCTATTTATTGAACTCCACTATGTGCTAGTTATTACCCTAGGGATACTGGACACTAAGGTGAGACAAGTCCATAAGCAGATATTTTTAATGCACTGTGAGAACACTGTGGCAGAGCTGGACAGCGAGAATGTCAGCTGAAATTGAAGGATTACGCTCAGAACCCATAATGAAAGGACAGGCTGGCCCTAGGGCTGGCATCTGGAAGAAATTAGCTACTCTGTGGATAAGATACTGGCCACCAGAGTCCTGTCTAGTGATTTCAAGTCAATGATTTAGCCCTTAGTAATCTCTAGGACTTCCTACCACTTAGAAAAGAAAACTTCTCATGTAAAATGGCTGTGTGTGATGCTGCAGACTTACTGTGCAGGAGGGTGATCTGAGAGAAGTGGAAAGGCGAGGTGGGGTTTGTGAGCTAAGCAGAAGCAGTGTTTATGTGTTTCATTTTTACTACTCTAGCCTCAGTGCCCTGCAGCAAGTATTTGTTGGCAGAGCGACTGAGTAAATGAAGGGATGGCGGGAGCAAGCTACCAGCACTGGGGATTTTTAGTGGTGCGCAGGCTCTGTCTGTTTCATTACAGCAATCCATGCAGCCATTAGTTACTTTAGTGAGCCTAGCCCTCTTTTTTTTTCTAATTGCGCTTTAGATGAATATTTATGGAACAAATTAGTTTTTCATTAAACAATTAATACACATATTGACATTGATTGTCAACCCCGTGACACGTCGACACTCTCCCCTTCTCGACTTTGGGCTCCCCGTTACCATTCGTCCAGATTTCCTGTCCCCTCCTGCCTTCTAGTCCTTGTCCCTGGGCTGGTGTGCCCATTTAGTCTCATTTTGTTTTATGGGCCTGTCTAATCTTTGTCTGAAGGGTGAACCTCAGGAGTGACTTCATTGCTGAGCTAAAAGGGTGTCCGGGGCCATACTCTCAGGGTTTCTCCAGTCTCTGTTAGGCAGTAAGTCTGGTCTTTTTTTGTGAGTTAGAATTTTGTTCTGCATTTTTCTCCAGCTCTGTCTGGGCCCCTCTATTGTGATCCCTGTCAGAGCCATTGGTGCTGGTATCTGGGCACCATCTAGTCGTGCTGGACTCAGGGCATGGTAGCTGTCTAACACCTATGTTTTGAAGCAGAAGAAGAATCAGTTTAAATCATGGGACATTTCATAGAGTTCAGGCTTTGATGAAGTGACAAAGGTGATGCTGGATATTTCTCAGTTTTTAAGGGGTTTGGTAGCCAGACATGGTTCTTTAATTCAAACTGGATGATTTCATCTACTTGATACAACCGCGTTTGAACAGGATGAATTGTTTGAAGAGAACAACAGGCACAATGTGCAATGACTTTTTTAACCTCTCAACTAGTTGCTTTAATATGATACGAACACAGCCTATGAAGCGTTGATATAAAGGTGATTCCAAAGGAAATTAATATTAGATATACTTCCTGATTTGTGATCAATATCATTTGCAAGATTTGGAGAGATGTTAAGAGGGCAGAGTTTACCTGTGAGTTGTTCGCCTATTCACTAGTAAATATTTACTTAGCAATTGTTATAAGGTCAGGTATGTGCTAGGTGTTGCTGATAGGACATACTGGATGTCAGACTAAGCTCATTATAGATTTCTATATAATTCTTCTGAGGTATCTTTTTAGAATCCCGAGCTTCTGTCCATATTCTCCCGTGGTACGCTTATCACTAGCAAAAGCTCGTGTTTTCATAAAAGCCTTTTCTTGAAAATTATCAGTATTTTCTGCTGTTCTAAGTTACACTTTGGGAACAGTCAAGAAGGAGCAATGTCAGACTAATTGCGCTAATAATAATAGGGCTCAGGCGGCTAGCTTTGATCTTGGGAGCCATCTGCAATCCAGACCTCTTTGATGTTTCACACAATGGAAGCATAAATATTTTCTATGTATTCCATCATCGGACTTTCAGAAATATAATTAAGATGAAGGTCAATTAAGAGAAAATGAAATTTTGACTGCAAAAGTCAGGGAAGAGGTGGAAGATGATGGCATGGCTCAGTGTACATAAAAGAAGCTAACTAACCTAATTATAAACTTACATAGACACCCAGAGAAATCGCCTTTCATGTGAAAAAACGGTCCTAAAGCATTTTATAACATTGAGATCATTACTGTGTCTTTGAAACACACCCAGTACTGGAAAAGACTAGCAATACTGGCATTTCAAAACTCTATTACTAAAAAATTTGTAGACAGCTAGGGATAAAAGCACTTTAGATTTCATCAAACACAGCCCTTGCTTCTTGGAAATGAGTACCATCAATGTCTACGGCAGAGTCGTGCCAATCGGAGTCTTCTAGGTTTGGTATAAAGGAGATTTTGCTGCTTCTTTCCGAAGGGTGTCCAGCTAGAGCAAGGCTAAGGGAAGCAGCACAGGCTGGGGTGCCCTAGGCTACTCTCAGCTGCTCCCTAAATGTCAGTTTCCACATTGCTAAAGCAGGACTGATGATGTTCATCTCATGTGCTTACTGTGAGGGTGAAATAACATGTAAATCCCTTAATCCAGTGATGCACATAGTAGGTCGTAAGAATTGACAACTACTTCTTCTCCTCTTCTCCCTCCTGGAAGCATGGGATTTTGAATCCAACAGACTTGAGCCTGAATCTCTTTTCCTACACTTGCTTTCTGTGTCACTTTGGAGAGGCAATTTTATCTTGTTGGGCTTCAGTTTCCTAAACTCTAAAATAAAGTCAATTATATCTACCTGCCAGGGTTATTGGAAAGATTAGAGGGAATTCATACAAAACCATGGCACATAGGTAACTGTATGGAGGGCATAAAATGACAGAAAGTAACTAAAGCATATTTTCAAATATGGGTTAAGATGTCTGTGCATCTGTGTTTGTGTGCCTGTGTGTGTATGTGCATTATGTACATGTATGTGTGTATGCGTGTGTGAAGGTATGTGTGTGTATATGAGTGTATGTGTTTATTTGTGCGGATGTAGGGTGTGTGTGTAACATGTGTGTGCATGTATGTGTTTATATGGGTGTATGTAGGGTATGTATATGTGTGTATGTGTGTGATGTGTTTGTCCATTCCTTTGTCCATGTTACTAGCCACAGTTGTGTGACATTGAAACTCAAATTTGAACGATGTGGAAAGCCACTCCTAACTGAACAGGGTAAATGAATTCTCTTTTTTCGTTTTGCTGGGTGACACACATCACATGGATACTCCCTCCCCTCACTTTTGAACTACATCTAAGGATCCTTTCATCTGAGAAGTTCAAAGTATGCCCACTTACCTATGCATCTTAGTAAAATCTTCCTTTCTAATGCCCAGTACTTTGGGAAAAATAGATAACCAAAAAAAAACTTGTCAGGCATCCCTGCTAGCCATCAGGGAAACTTGGTATTTGACCACAGTGGCTTGCATACATTCCCAAGTTCAATTAGTTAAGCAGTGGAGGATCAAATATGATTGTGGGTTATTCCCTTCTGACAAACAGTGCATTAAGATGAAAATTCTAATTACAGAAGGTATGAATTGTTCCTCTTTCCAAAGTGGTATGACCTTGGTCTCCAAGCAGATCAGAATCATGATTGCTAGAAACGCCAGTGCTGGCTGATCAGGTTTTCTTAATTCTGTAGTCTGAATAAAAGACACAGTGTATTGCTAAATGTATTATGGGTTATATTTAGAGTTGGTAGAGTTGATTTATCAAATTCAAAGGCCAGATCCTGCCCTTGGATATGTCCACTGTATAAATGTGCATCCCTGACCAGAAAAACATCTGCTTGAAATGCAACATTCTTTTGCTAATGGGATCTTTAGAACTCACTAGAGACAGAGGTGGACCCTGGGCACGTAGCACCTGCTGGCTCCAGCCATACTTACAGTTCACAGTGACCTTGACTTGTTTGACATCCGCTGAGGAGACCTCATTGGCAGCTTTGCATTCATATTTGCCTGACTGCTCCCTGGTGATGCCGAAGATCTCCAGGTATTCTTCTTCTCCCTCAAATTCTCTTCCTGAAAAATACAGGTTGACACAGTTGTTTTCTAAAGTTTAAAATATGCAGAAGATCACTTCTTTTAAAACAATAAATCTAGGTGGCTTCCCAATGGTTTGACAATGTACTTTACCTGAGGCCAGGTTCCACAGAAGCAGACCCGAAGACAAAAATTTATGTGAAAATGATTAGGTAGGAAGTGTTTCCAGAAAAAAAAAAAAAAAAAACTGGTAGGAGAGTGGAGAAATGGGACCCAGAAGGAAAAGAAGTCAAATAAGTGTGCAGTGCCAAGAAAAGGCCCACAGGACAACTTTGTCTCACTTTTCACTGAGCTCTGTACACAGAGCAGGCCTCATGTCAAAGCTGTCCTGATCAAGAGGCAAGAAGCCAGAGTATTTATATATCCACAGGCATCAGTTAAGGACTTGGAGCAAGGTGGCAGGTGGGAGGAGGTGCTCCTAAGTTGAAGGGGCAATGAGGAGATACTGGTGAAGCACTGACATCATCAATTACGCCATGTTATAAAGCACTCTTTCAACCAAAGTGCAGAGGTGTTTTCCTTTTGAGACACTGTCATTCTTCTCCAGATTATGTGGGGTTCTCTTCACAAGGATCATGTTCCAAACCCTTTCTTGAAAGTATGGTTTCTCTGGTTCAGGATCAGACTATATCATCTTTGAGACTTTCAGGCTATGGACCAGACCCATGAGAATGTGCTACTGATGGTAAATTTTGTGATGGGCTATATCAACAAGGGATTGGGATAGGAAGCTAAACATCACTGGTTTAATCAGCTATGGAGGTCCTTTTAGGAATGATCTACAAAGTTGGATATGTCCATTTTAGTAAAGAAATCTCTAGATAGGTAAGCTTGTTTATATTCCCCTCATATGGAATATCATTGATTATATGACTTTCTTTCTGAAGAAAGAAAGAGAGAGAGAAGGAAGAGGAAGTGGAGGGAGAAGAAGAAAAAAAAAAAAGAAGAGAAAGCGATGGTAAAGAGGATTGAGAAAGAAGAGCTTGACTAAAAAGGCCTATGGACTTTAGCTAAATTGAACCCCCTCCTCCATCCCAAAATTCCACTGCTGCTTGCATAAGGATAGAGCAGCCAGAGAGGGTGTTAAAGAACCATTATAGAATCTTGCTTCTGGTCATCCCACACTAAATGGTACCAATTAATAGCTCTGCTCAAATGCCACAAGCTGTTTTCCTTTTCTGGAAATTCCCTGATGGCCAGATCAACATAACAGCTAGCACGGAGACAAAGTCACTGTTTCAATATTCAGCTAAGCCAGTTAACTAAGTTCCCAGTAGAACACAGGGCTTCTTTGATAACAGTCTATAACTCAACTGTTAGGAACACTTCAAATCTACAGCCAATTGTCAATATTACTAGTTTTGAGGAAACTTTGCAAACCTAACAACAACAACAGCAACAAAAACAATAGTCATTTTAGACAATTTGCTTCTGGAGTCCTGTACATCATCTAGAACATGTTTCTACTGAAATGTTTTAGAATTAGTCTATAAGTCAGTATCTGGATATACTCATAAAAAGTTAATTTATGTTCCCGTCTATGTTTCTTCCTTTACTCTTCCACACACTCAAGCAAGGAGCCAGTTCTGTTTTCACACGTTGCAGAAATGGAATGTGGTAGGGAACAAAACAGAAATCCCGGAAAGGTTTGATGTTCCACTTTACTGGATTTGATGAGCAGGATTTGGGCTTGGAGGAAAAAGAAAAAAAAGTCTTTCCTGACTGACACTTATGCCCACTAATTGATGCTAAGAATCTTCTTGCTGAAAATAAAGGCTCTAAAATCTAATGGCAGTTGGGAACTGCAGGTCACGATAGGTGTAAGCCCATTAAGAACCTGGAGTGCAGGGGTAGAAGAGATGGTAAAATTACGTTATTGATTTGGGGAATAATTGGCGGATTATGATGAGAAAAGAATGAAAGATGATTTGAGATCCCCTTCCTACCCTCCTCCCTCATCTCTTAATCTCATTCCCAGGTGAGTATAGGGTGGTAAGTAAAAGAAAGTGAGGACAAATACAGCTTAGTTAGAGACGGCTGACAACACTGAATTCTTAAAACAAACTTTAGCCATTGAGTTGATTCCAACTCATAGCCACCCTATGGGGTGGCTATGAGTTCTGTGAGATGAATTCTTTTCAGTTTCCATAAAATACCTAGAAATGGGGGGTAATGGATCCTACTTTGGCCACTGGGCCAAAGCTTAACAGAAAAACAGCAGTGATTTGTTTCCACTGCTATTTCATCTTGCTTTTAGACCAAAATGTCTGAGCTAGATGTAAGAGCTAAGAGAAAGAAACCAGAAAAGGGAAGATGATTAGAGCAACACCAACTAAGCCCTGTCAACTTGGGAACATGGCATCTATGAGAGCAGAAATTAAGATAACCTAAAGGAAATAAAGTAATATTTATGGGGTTGTGCCCTGGGATTCTTACAGGTTAATGTAGGTATTAATAATCTTATGTTTTTCCTGATAAGCATATAATAAAACAGATCCTCCAGGGTTTAATTTTCAATCTCATGTCTCTAGGAAGAATATCGTCCAATACAACTTGAAGATGAAAGGGGCATTTTCCCTTAAGTAACTCACACCTGAAGCAAACAGATCACTTTTACTGCTACAGTGATAATTCTCCTTTCTGAGAACTGTTTCTGTCGTAGACACAGCCTATGTAGGTCTTTCTCTAGAGTGGGGAAGTCCCAGGGTGCAAATCAAATACAGTAAGAGAAACTATATGATCTTCCCTCATCCAACCAGTCTGACAAGGATTTAAAATATTGAACAGCACCTTCTGACTCTTCCTGTTGTCATTCTTTACTCTTTGGATCCTCCAGTTGAAACTCTTACATTCTTTGGCATTTCTTGCTAGGCTATTCTACTGCACCCACAGGAAACATTCCCACAATGCATTATCTCTACTACTTCACTTGAGTATTTCTCATTAATCTATATTGATTTGAGAGGAAATGGGAGCTTTTCTGTTTCTACAGAACTAGAGCACCAGATTATAAGCTCCTTGGGGACCACGTCTTATTCCTAATATCCCCATGAACTAGAAGAAGGTTTGGCACAGATTAGTTACTCAATATATGCTTGTTGAGTTAGCTGTACTGAATTAAGAAACACAAGCAGATACTACATTAGATTCAACACATCATAAGAGAACAGAGCTAAGTATTGAAAGGTGGATAAGTATTTCTGTAAGAAAAGCTGGTGTATAAATCTACTTTTAATTATCCTAACAGAGTACCATCTTATTGGGGAAGAAAAGTGCACTAAGTAGCTTATTTTTAGGCAAATATGATTGTTTGCCAAATGCTCCCCCCAACACCCTGTATTTCTTAAGTGCTATCCTAATTTTTTTGATGGCAACATGTAAAAAAATTGGCATAGCGGAGTTTAAGAAAATATCTGGTGTGGGGAGGGAGCAGTTGGCAAACAAATGTAGAAGGCGCATTATATGCATAAAAACAGGTACTCTGTTGTTGAAAGTCATCTCTGACCATGTCCTGAGGATGTATCTGCTGTGTGGAGTTATTGTTTCAGAAAAAGGTCTGGAGACACCAACAGAGCCCACAGTGGAAACAAGAAGATGCCATTCCTCTCATCTGGGCAACTGCAGTTTCTTGTTTCAAAGCGTGGAGTACACCTTGTTAATCTTGAGTCACAAAATCCTAAAATGCACTCAGATTTTCCTGCTCTGCTCCATTTGCCCCAAAGTGCCTCGGGGACACATTTTCTCTAGTTCTTTCAGTTCACCCTTATAGCTGCTCTTACCCCAGGGGTCCCGCCGCCATTTCCCTTTACTCTTTCTGCCATGAGCTTCAGGCATGCTGTGGCCATCTCCCATCCTAGAATGTGACGCTTAACCTGTTCAGGTTCTCTGGTGTAATAATGCCCTACGGCCACATCTGGGCCCTTTTCTTGTTCCTATCTATTATTCTCTGCCCTGGTATAAATGTTTACCTAAAATGCAAATTTCAACATTCTGGTATTTTAAACATCTCAACCTGTTTCCACAAACTTGCTCACGTTGCTGTTATATTTATTCTGGGATCTGGTGTTTAGTTTAAATCTCCTTTTGCTTAATGTGCTTTTGTGTCTCCTGGCAATATTCAGCTACCAGGCTAAATAACTTCTCATCCTCCTCAGTGTATGTACCTTTCAAACTCTTGCACCTAATTAGCATATCCTCTCTTAGTCACTGTTTACACAAGTTGTACATATTAGTTCTTTTAATGTTTCTTCATAAGTCAGAAAGAAGGGCCTCGAGCTAACGGCAAGAGGAAAGTATTCTCGTCTATGCTCCCCAAGGTGGAGGCAAATCAGGAGGAATAACTCAAGTTAAGGTACACCAGATGCCACCTCCTAAGGGCTAGGAGTCCATTGTCTCTAGAGTACAGTGCTTTGGTGAAACCTGTAGATTTCACATCCAGAATGTCTGTTTACTTAGACTTCCAAGGTCAACCAGGCATTTGTACCCAAATAGCCATTTGAAATTAAATCTATTTCCACAGAGCTTCTGTCTCTCTTTCACATACACTCGAACACACACACACATACACTCACACATATACATTCACACATACACACACACATACACATATGCACACACACATACACACACCCGTACACACACATACAGCTATTTATTTACATATAACCTTTCACTCTGACATTTAGGAAACAGCATAAACCAAAAAATAAACCAGATGCCGTGGAGTCTATTCCAACTCATGGCGACCCCATGTATCTCAGAGTAGAACTGTGCTTCATAGGGTTTTATGAATTATTTTTTTTGGAAGTAGCTCCATAAGGTTTTCTTGAGAGTCATCTTTGAGTGGACTCGAACCTCCAACTTTTGGTTAGCAGCTGAGCACATTAACCTTTTACAGCACCAGGGCTTCCAGGAAACAGCACACACATTCACTGATACCCACAGTATTTGCTCACAGAACACAGCAGGCTTATTCTTGA